TATTACTATAATTTATCAATAATTTTAACCTATGACATTTTGGCTTTCATTAATTGGAAAGAAACAGTGAATATTTAAAGCTAGCATTACTGTTTTAATTGATATAATTAAATATTTAAAAAATTCTCTATAAAAAACACTTTAATGCACAGACAAAACTTGATATCAGATACAATTAACAATTCATCATTAGCATATTACACATTTTTTTAATATTTATGTTATATTGATAATAACTTGATTACGGTACAAATCTCCTGATTATTTGTTATATTTACAATCATCCCCAATTATCTCAAATATTGTCAAAAGGTAGATGATGATATTCAAATTAGAAATATGTCATTATTAATATATAATAATTTAATAATGTTTGGAAGAATTTTATTAAAATTTTTGCACAAATTGATTAAACTTCTACACTAACAAAAATTTCCTCAGATTTATTTGATTGCTTATGAAATATATATTTTTATTTCTATGTTGTTTACCTTGAATTAGTTTTTAATTACTTTTCTTCTATGAAAATTTGGAAAGATTCATCTTATTTTATCTGTAGATGAACAGAAAAAGATTTAATATATTAATTTAGTTTGTATAAAAACCCAAATACTATTGTATTTTTGATGAGAAAAAAGTTAGCTAGTAAATAGCAGAACATTTCTGTAAACAACATAAAACAAAGAAGGAACAGGAAGGTCAAATACAAAAATAGATTAAGAAATAAGAATAAAAGAAGTTCCTCATTAAAGAAAGACCAATCTAAGTAATTGTCAAAGATAAGAGATGAATAGCATAGATACGAAAACCTGAATAAAAAAAAAGAAAAATCTGATTATAAAATGGTTTTAAAATTATATAACAATTATACACTAATGAAAATAGGTTTCTGTCATTGGTATATGATTACTAAACAATAGTTTATCATCAAATAAATCCAATCTGTGACAAGTCAGTTTCAGTTATAAATTCATAAAAGTGTTAATTAAAAACTCAAATTTTCATATATGTACTATATAATCTTCCTATTTCTAAATTTTTTAAGTAAATAGAAATGTCTGAATTCAAATTATCAAAAAGATATAAAAATGTAATTATTATAACAGACATGAATGCTGGAAATTTTCAGGATACCAATTATTTCCTTATTGTATCAATTGTCTGTCTAATGACTACTGACAATATACAGATTAAGAAAAAATAAGAATTGATAATTACCATTCTATCAAATCTATCTGAACTCCTAAAAACTTTGATTTCCAATCCATCACTTGATAGTTATCATGTTGAAAGATTAATAATTAATGATAGNTGGAAATAATCACAAAAGTTCTGTACAATGCATTAATATTAAATTTTAGTTAAACAAGGGTATTTTCTTTTTACAAAGTATCTTCTTCATCTCAACGTTTTTGTTGATGTTGCTGATACTTCTGATAAAAATGTTCATATTTTTTTTTTTATCAGAAAAAATTTTTACGGTTGATGAAATAAAAATTTGTTGTTAATTGGAAATTTGTTCTAGAGGGTTGTGTGTGTTCAGTTGAGTACTGAGCAAATTTTTTCCATAATTGTGTTCAAATACTGGATTGTTCAAGTACCGAGAAACTACTTCATTTGTAAAAATGATGAATGAAATACAGCAATCATTCATAGGTAAGTAATTTATATATATGTTGCAGTCAAAACCAGTTTTTAGTTAAGACATGTTTTAACTAGTTGAAACTAGTTTATACTGGATGTCTTTGTTACATCTACAATATCCTAGTTATAACTAGAATTTACTGCTGTACATGTTCGGATTTTAGATAAAACTACTTTTAACTTTGAACATTAGTTAAAACTAATTTTAGCTACATAAATATGTTTATAAATAAAGTGATGATTGGGATTAAAACATTTGTATTATTTAATACAATATTTATTGAAAATATTGGTCATACATGTGTGTTATTAAAATTAATTAAAGCGATAAATAAAATTAATCATACACTATAGGAACATTTTTAAGGACAATCACAGAGCCATGTCGGCAATATTAACACTAAAACAACATCAGTAATATTAATTAAAGTCATACAAAAATAATCATTCAATAAACGAGCATAAATATAAAATTAAGTTTACATTACTTGTTATTGTAAGGCAAACTATCATGACATTACAAGTTACACAAGTTGCCTTTTTTTCTTACAAAAGCACCTCTTCGACATACACGCCTTCTTATACAAATAGCAAACAAATCCTTGGCCTGTTCCTAAGGCTGCTTTCCTGGCAGCAGTTCTTAAAGATACATTTGTCTCTGGCACTTCTTCTAGTGGCAAGAAGTTTTCTTTGGACATGTCAAATTCTGACCTGAACAAGTACATTTAAGTTTTCAAATAGGTTCATACTTATTTTAAAATGATTCTTTAATTAATAATAATTATGGTAAATTGTGCCCAAAAAAAGGAAAAATATTTTTCATAATAATTAGACCTCAAAATATTAACGAATTAACAGCATAGTTAGCAACATTAAATAGTGGCACAATTGAACAATACATACTTGCAATCAATGTTCCCTCTAAGCTGTGTGGCCACGCACGAGAATTTGTGCGCCGNATATTTTCTTTATAATTTTTTTAGTATCAGCTATATTAAAGCTATAGATGTTTTACAGATTTAAATTAATGTAGTTTAATATTTAAAAAATGAATTATTAATGCAATTTTGTAATGCTACAAATGTATTGGAAATACAATTACATTACTTAAAAAATAATACCCAAGTAAAAAAAAAATCTTACTCTGCTTTCTTCAATGGTATCATGTAGTCCTGGTGGTTCATCCAAACAAAAAAATAATCGAACAGGCTTACTGAAAATTAAAAAGGATGTCTTATTACTATTATATTAAATCAAGAAATTTAAGAAATACACGAGAAAGGATTACTGTTTTATAATTTTTTGTTATTTTGCATTCAAATTTTATATGAATTATTCATTAAATGATATGATGGCTTTTGTAAAATAGCCATTTTATCTGTTAGATAACTACTTAAAACACAAATCTAGCAACTTAGTTTTTTTAACTTTAAAGTTTTTTTGTGCTTTAGTTTCCAAGCTTCACTTCATTTTAGAAATAAAAATTAGTTTTTAGTTCCTTTATAAGTTCAATGATCGTATTTTTTATATTAGTTCCATAGAAAATTTCTGTAGGCAAAAAATAAGTTAGAATATGCAATATGAAAGTTTTTACAAAAACAACAAAAGAACATAACTTGATAGTATTATGTTGTCTTCAGATTTTAACAGATATTTAGCAAAATTCTCAGATGATAATTATTTAAAATATTAGGAGGGAAGATAAATTATTTTCTGATATATCTTATAAATTTAAAATCCTTTTAATTTGTATCATATTTGTAGACTAAATAGTTAACTTGAAGAAATCTTTGTTTATTCAGGCCATAGAATCAATGTTTTAAAATATAATTTGAACTTAATTCTTTATCAAATCTTATAATTCTAATCATTATTTAGAAACTGTTTATCTGTCATGTTGTTACCTAAGTGGTTCTAGTAAAATTCTAAATTATAAAACAGTTTACTTCTTTTTCAATCTTTCTCTAAAACAAAACTGTATTTATCTAGGAAATGTTTTTTAGAATTTTTATTGAACTATTATTTCCATAAATTTAGTTCAAAGTTTTGAATCAGTATTTTTTAAAATCAGTATATGTAAATATTAACAAAATCAAATCTCTCCCTTTTCATAATGCCAATTAAAAATTTCTTCAAATACAAAATTTTTGAAATTTTAAACTTACAACAACTTTGGTATGTTGAATATATATGACAAGTAATTGTTTTGAATAAAATATACTATTTATTGTAGAGTAATATTGGAATTAAATGGTTTAGCAACCATTAATTTATTAAATAAAGTTTGAAACTGCAATTTTTAGAATTTTGTTGTTCATTCAACACACATTAGCTTCTTACAACATCTTAGACTTTTGTAAATCAACCAGTACTGATTCTCTAATACACTCAAGTTCACATATTTCACTGTTAGTGTCATGAGAGAATGACTGGCCTTTAAAATTAATTGTAAGAATGATGCTAATTTCACTTATATCAGCACAAGATGCTTCATACCACTTGAAAAGACATTTCTCATAATTTGATCCCCATATCAAACTGATTTAAAAGTTCTACAAAAAAAGCTATTTTAGACATGAAAACACATTACATTCACATTATGGTGCTGTCTCTCAGACTGTCCTAAATTTTAAATTTATGAAAATAAACTATGGGTCTAGAAATAGCAAGCACACTACTTAACTGCATAGCACATACTAACTTAAAAGTACACAAAACAGTAAGCTTTAACTTTTTATACTAGTGACAAATCCTACAACAATAAAAATGTCTAGCAGTTTCAGACTGCACAACAGAGGTTATGGGTTAAATATGATAAACTGACATTAATAATAAAATATATTTGTATGCAAGTGGATGCATATTTCAAGTGAAGTACACAGTTAAATAAAAAATATGATCTTTAGATTGCCAATTTTATTAATAAGTGTTCAAATACTGTTTAATATGAAAATACAAATACAGTGAAAACTGCTTAGGCGACCACCTGCATTGGACGGGCACCTGTCAAAACGGGCAAAAATTTCTGGCCCGGAATTTTCAATTTACATAATAAGTTACCTGTATTAAACGACCACCTGTCTAAAAGACCACTTTTTGAAGGAACCGTGGGTGGTCGCCATAGACAGGTTTTACTGTATTTAACTTTATAAATCATGGTAAATCTTAACATATCTGGCTTTTGTTATAAAGTGAATTTACATAATGAGTATTAGAGTTGAGCCATTTTGTACACAGTATTTCAAGCTATACAGTTTTAGTAAATACAAAATCAATTTCTATCAATCTACCTTAATACTGATGAGTATTTAATGTTGCAAAATAAAAAAATAGAAAGTTATTTTNAAGCATAATTATTCAGTAAATTTATTGATATTTATTTATATCTTTTTCAAAGATTTATTGATTGTATATTATAATTTCTGTTATTATTTAAAACTGATATAAAAATGTTTATTGTTAACAAAGCTTTTACTTTTTGTCATCATGATTTAATCCATTTACTTGAGTAGTATCTTCAATGTCATTATTTGGCATTAAACAGGTTTTATGATTCCTATTTAAAAAAAAAAATTGTAAGACAAATTCAAGTTAATAGCATTTAAAAAAATGTAAATAAGCTCACATTTGTGCTAGAGATCTACTAAGATTTTGAAGCTCAGTAGCATATTGATGAATCGAATTTGGAATCTTTGCTTCTCTCAAACAATGAGATGGACTATTTTCTGAGCATTTTGGTGACTTAGGATTTCGTGATTGAGCATAAGCTGTTAAAGCACATTCTAATCTGAAAAGTATGTAACATTAAAATGAATCTTTAAAACATTATCAATCATTGATGAAATAAGAATTAGTTATCAGGTAATGAAATGAAAATAGGTTTGCATTTCTAATAGAATAAAAATCATTAAAAATTGAAAGTGTTTTAAATATTTTAGCAGATGTTTAGGAAAGATTTCAGTAATATACTGAATAAATCAATTATTATTATTAAATTAACGTTCTAGAGCAGTGTTTCTTAACCAGGGGTTTGTTGCCTTAAGATGGAAAGATAAAAATCAACTTAATTTTATGTTATTGTGTGAAATTGTTAATTATTCTGTTAAGAAGTAAATTTATTACTATTTATAATTTTATGTAATGCATTTATTCCAATTTGATGTCCATGACATTTATCTGACTAGAAAGGAGACCATGGAACAAAAAGATTAAGAACCTATGGTCTACAAGTTATTTGAAAAAAATTTAATATATGTGTAAATAAAACTAATTTTGCAATTTCATTTTTAGATATTAATACATCTATCAATAAAAAGAAATTTATTTTTACCTTAGGGAATTGAGCAAAGCATCTTGTTGTGATTTTAACATTCCTACTTCTTCACGAAGTTGTTCAATTTCAGAATCTTTATCTTTTAGCTGTTGCTGTAAACGAAACACTTCCTCCTCTAAATTTTCACATTGAGCCTGAAAAATTTAATATTAAAAATTGGATGTATATAAAATTGTGTATTTAAAAAAGGTTTTCTATTTTTCTATGCAGAAGTAATCAGAAATTTATTGATATACCAGTGTATGGTTACTATATTAGTTATTAAAAACATTGTTTAAAATCTTAATATATAATGTAAATTTATTTACTTTATAATTTTGATTTAAATACTCTTTGGCAAAATAGCAGATATTATTTTAGGTTGGTTGGAGTTGAAGTTTGTGGCACAAGGGCCTAGGCATGCCAAAGAGTGCCAGGTTTTTAATATGTATGTATGTATGTATGTATGTATGTATGTTCTAGAGTTCTATATATAGGTTTATTGCATTCAGATATGCCATTGTAGGTTGAATTTGTCTATTATCATCTAGTATATTCCATAGAGCTTGGTCATATAAAGATATATGTTGTCAATGGTATCACACCCTGGCTGTTTTATACCGAGGGTACATCATTAATATATGTCAGAGAGTAAGTGGGGGTTTGACATGTTGAGCATATCGATAACTATCTATTATCAAAGGATACCCAATGTGTTAATCTTGTGTCCAGTTTTCAGACAGACAAGTACAATTTCTTCTTTCTGGTTTTCCTGGTGGCTGGTTGTCCATTTTATTAACTCTGGTTTAATGGGGTGTAATTTATTGTTGAGTTGTTTGTTCCAGTCCTCTTGCCATTTGTTGTATGTGTACTTGTTGATACAGCTGGATAAGTCTTTATAGTATGGTCTGAAAGTTCATGCTTGGTTTCTGTTGTCTTGTTTTGTGAGTTTGTCTGCATTTTCATTTCCTTGAAGTCTTCCTTGGAGTCCAGGCAGCCAGTAGAAGGCTATTGTATTTCCTGCATGTTTTACATTGGAGTAGGTATTGTATGCTGGTTGAGTGTTGGATGGTCTGTTATCCTACAGCTGTTAATTGCCTGTAGTGCACTGAGTGAATCTATATATATTCTAGTCTGTCTATGGTTGTGTTTTTGTACTGTACATGTTGGAGAGCCATAAAAATTGCTAACAGCTCTGCTGTATATATAAACTGTTGTTTCTGCAGACAGCCCTGCAGCATATATCATTTTAAAAAATTGTCATAAAATTACATATAAAATTTCAGTTTAAAATTCTGTTTTATTGCTTAGCTGCATGATAACAACAGTAAATAAGCAAATAAAAAATTTCAACCCATGTACATTATATATATATTATAAATATAATTACTGTATATATGGGTATAAATTATACTGTTATATATAACAGCAGTATAATTTATTGATATTTTTGCAAGATATGGCTACAAAATGATTTCCAGTTACAACAGATCCTAAACTATTGTTTATCACCACCAATTTTTGATGTCTGTCCCAACAGAAATCCTAATACTTTAGCATATAACACTACTTATGATAACCATTAACTGGATTTATCTTAATTTTTGACTAGAGAAAAAGGTTAATATGTATAGTATAGTAATATTGGTTAATGTAAAAGGTCATTTTCACTCACCTACAAGAATTACTAATACTGCTGTTTCTGAAAGTTTTAACAAAATATAAAAATATTTACTTCATTTCCATATTCAAAATTTCAGGATATGTAGACATTTAAAGTTTTTTGGTTACAAATGTATTTTACAAAACTTGTGTATATTCTTTTACATTACAGGTTTTTGTTTGTAAAATGTACAAACTTAATTTTATATGTACCCGTACATGAAATACACATGTATTTAGATTTTAAAAAGTAATGACGATCAAAGAAGTGACAGTGATATGAAACAGCAGTGCCTACTTCAAGATTTGCTATTGACTATCTCCATTGATTTATTCAAACTGAAAAAAATTCTGGAGACATTAATAGGGTTACCGTAATAGTTGAAGGCAAAATATGGACAGATTTGCATTAAAAGTACTCAGACAGCAGACAAAATAAAAGGAATTTATTCATATTTTTCAATCTAGTAAAATATAGGCATATAATATAATTTCAATTTACACTTTCTTTTGGGGTACAGAATGCAATTTTAAAAATAAGAAAACTGTTTTACCACTTAGACAATAAATGCTAAAGAATTTTAAAAAATCCTTGTAAATGTGCACATGTTCTCTAAGCAAGAGTTGTTACATTTGCTTATACAATATTGGTACGTAGCCAACAAATACAATAATAATTATCAAAAATTTAACACTTTTTGTCAGATTTAAATCTAACTGATTATGATTTAACTATTAACTGCACAATCAGTTGAAAAGTATGGACTTTCTTTATTTTTTCTAATTACACTACAGACATGACCTTTAAAATACACATATTGTAACTCTAACTTTAACTTGTATTGATATAAATTAGATGAATACATTGACAACCTGCTTTAGAAAAAACCGTCAGTTTTTTTACGATAGATTTTTTAAAAATATAAAGACTTTCATATATAAAAGTTATCTTATTTGATGATTAATTTGACATTTTCGTTTATGATTCTAAGAATAAAAAGAACAATTCATCTCATAATGAAGTAGATATGGTAATATTTTGCTATGCATTTCTCTCTCAGTAAAAACTTCCTAAGTTAACGTCAACACTTGCAGGTGGTCCCACAGGAATTTGACGCCAAGGATAATTTACTATTTTAATTTCGTATTAGATTAACGATAGCGTTCGTAAATGAGTGATAAAACACACGAAAGTCTGTTCTAAAATATGTTCTACGTGTTCTAATTAATCCACGTGATTTACTCATTTTCATTTTAATATAACGTAACTAGTCCAAGAGCGCCGTCAAATTATATTCCATCGACGCCAATGTAGCGCCATCTAGTAGAAGGTTTCACAACTACTACTAAAATCGTCATTTTTTTACAATACGCAAGAAAAATTGTAAAGTAAATCACTCGTTCTTAGTAAATCGACGGACTTATTAGATTTAATTTAGAACGTATTGAAAACATCGAATGAAATTGCACTCATTCCGTTTTAATAAAGATTTATTACAGTAACACCTTAGATAACGATTCGGTTTAGAAATAGCACATATAAGCGGCGAACGGAGAAGGTTGATAATGTAGATCTTCTTAGACTTGCGGCCGAAGCAACAGACGGGTCCTCTGTGACCTTGAATAGCTTTGGGGAAAGTCCCCGGACCCAAGGTAGAAAGTACCGGGATGTAAAGTCTCTACCCTACTCGCTGTCGTGCCCTATGCTGTGAAGGGCAAACCGAGCTGGCGCGATTTGAGTGGGGAATCTGGTCTCATTCAAACAGGAATGCAAGTGGCAATTTGCTACCAGAATGGGGCTTACTCAAGAAGATCTCTCCCCCCTTTTTTTTTTAATCAAGATTTTTTTATTATTAATGTGGTGATTTTAAATCGTTTTTGAATTATATATTGAGACTTATGACTCCTTAACATAATTTCCAGTCTAAATGACACTCCTCGTACTTACAGGAGAAATTAAATGAATATAAATGCAATTTTTTTTTCAATAGGAAGTTGCAGAATATGATGCAAGAGCATTGTTGTTAATTAGGAGAGGTCTCTTTAATTACTCCTTTTTGTCCTGCACTACCACTTAGGACGCAGGATAAACTATTGTGAATTGAGCAGTTGATGAGAGAAATAAGACGGTCAAATTAGACCCTTGGATATAGGTTCTTGATGATGTTTTCTTTTTTTTTTTTTAGTATTTTTATTATTTCTACAGACTAGAAAAACTGGAATTTTAAGATATAAATATCAAGTTGTGTCCTATTTTGGAATACGGCCAAAAACCGAATGTTGGATCGCTGGATTTATTCGGTGATCTAAGTATCTAATGTTCCAAATCATTTGTTGGAAATTGTTTATTTTAAAACAGTTTCCCACCAATGATTTGGTGTAGAAAGCATTTGCCTTGTTTTTCCATGGGCTTTCTTCTTTAAGTAATTTTTTTAANTAGTTTCAACTAGTTAAAACATGTCCTAACTAAAAACTGGTTTTGACTGCAACATATATATATTTAGTTGCTATATATAGTTGCTTTCAGACTTTAACCATTAAGACTGTATTTAGTAAGAACAAACCATATACACACACATTTGAACTTTTTTTTTTTAACATATAACATAAGATTGAAGAGGATCTTTCTCTGGAATCACCTGCTGTTTTTGTCTTAAGCCTCATGGAGTCAATGGAACTTGTCATTGTCTTCGATGTCTTTACACAAAGATCAATGGATATTTCACAATAACCCTCTGCACATTGGATATGCAAAGTTCTCTGAAAAGTTCTTAATTTTGGAAGATGAATCTTACTTTATCCTCTCCCACTTGGTGCAACAAGATGGTGAATTTTATACCAATGATAATCTCCTCTACACCTGCCAATGTAAAGTTTTCCAAGGGAAATTTGAGGGCAATGTTTTGGTTTTGATTGCAGTCAGAATGAAAGGATTGAGTCAAGCCATAATCAGAAAATCAAGTTTTGCTATCATCCCCAACAATATTTGTGAATGTATATGATATCACCTGATTTCTTACATTCTTCTTGAGAATAGTTCTTTTGAATGTCTTCTGTCCAAATTGGGCAAGTTCCCACTATTTCAAGGGTGGGCAACAGTTTTTGCCCCCAGGGCCAAATTGGAAAGAAAACTTTTTTCACTGGCCGAACCAGAGGCTACCCTAGGAAGATTTTGAGGTGGTGCAAGATCTCATTGTGGTGTCACCCCATAGAGACTAAATTGTACATAGAGATTACAGATACATTTTTCACATTATCATGCTTTATCAACATTCTATGCCGTACTTAAGAGATTTGTAATGCAGTGTTAACTCTAAACACACAGTGAGTTGTTGAACTTTTTTTTTATTTAGGTGTCAGAATTTTTTGCTGAGCTATTCGGACTTGAGTAGCTAATCGCGGGCCACATAAATTCATTAGACAGGCCATATGTTGGCCATGCCTGCACTATATCAAAACAATATTGGATTTCTGCAATAAGAAAACATCACCTTCATCAAAAGATAGATCTGTAAACATGCCAGAAACTAGGCCAATCAAGGATTTTGGGCAATTCTCAAGGCAGCAAGACAAAGAGTTGGAAGGCAAAAAACATGAAATCAGCTGATCAATTACATAGTGTGATGAAAACAATGAAAATGGGGTCATATATAATGCTGTTTGTCTTGTACACTGTACTATTTTGTTACTAACTACTGAGTATTCTAAAACAAGTCAATTAACATGGATAATTACAGTATTTAAATTCCTGGAGTAATAAATCACATCACAAAATAACTTGTTCTCTCTCTGTATTACTGGAATGTGATTAAAATGTTTGTCAGCAAAGACAGACTAGTTTTTGGAACTCAAATTGGCTTGTTCATTATAGTGCAAACAATACCTTGTACAAATTCTTGGGAACAATGAAAACCTTTTGCACTAGAATAGTTCTCAATTCTTGCATTCAAATACTCCCAATATTTAGTTGGAATCACTTTGGATTAACAAAACTTGATTATCAGGCTTAGGTAGTTTAATTTTTTTTTACAATAAAATCACTTTAACTATACCAGATAAATATCATTGTTGTTAAGATAAAAAAAATGAAAACCTGTAAACAAAAAGAAAAATTTAGTTCTATGTAATTCTTTAGTTTCTATGTAATTTAGTTCTATGTAATTTAGTTCTGTAATATATTAAAAATAATAAAGTAAATATTATATTTGAACATTTTTGCAAGATTTATTTCAATCTTTCTTCACATTCTTTAAAAAATCAGTATGAAATGCAGTTGGTTAGATAAATTAGAGTGGGTAATTTGTCATTCAAATTTTTATTAATTTTTGATATTTAAAAATTATCAGTATATGCATGTAAGCATTCTAATTACTTTTTAATACTAAGGATGATTTGCATTTATTTACAACAATTATTTCAAACTATTAACATTTTATCAATTTAATATGAAGTAATTTATTACTCTATTTGACTAACTGTAAAATTCTGATTCACCACGACAACATGATGTGAGAAGCAGAATAAAGACATTGTCTTTATTATATTAAAANTTTTTAAATTAACACTAAAATTCAAAATATTTAATTTAACAATACTATACTTTTTTTTAATTACTATACACTGTTATGGTAATCTTTGAAATTTCTTAAAATACTTCATTCCATATATTCTTAAATTATTTTTAACATAAATTTTATCACTACATACCTGTTTCTCACATCTTTATGTGTCAGTATATTTTTAACAAAATTTTGCAATCCATGTAATCGATCTTCAAGAAAACGAGGACTAAAATTATCTCCTAGCCATTTTTTAGGTGGAAGAGCAAAATGGATAGAAGGGAATAACTCTTTCAACTAAATAAAAATAAAAAAAATTTAGAATAATTTTTCACACTGATAATCTAGAGAATTTAAATCAAGAAAAAATTTAAAATTACCTTTCTATGAAGACGAACAAAATCGGTATATCTTCGAAATACAAACCAGCTATTTCCTGTTGTTCTATGTTCTACTTGAATTTTGAAAACCTAAATAAATATAGTAGTTTATTTCCAGTTTTCAGTATTTCAGTTAATATTTTTTTAATGTTTACAGTTAAAAATGTTGAATACATTTCAGCAAAATGAAATAAGTAAAATTAAAATAGTTTGTTACAAATTAAATACAAAATTAATAAAACAGTTGGTGCAATTTGTCAGGAAATTTCTTGATAAAGTATTTTCTTATAATTAAAAAATATACTATACTACCAGTAAGGGCACTGTTATTTCTTCCATATTTCATATAATAATTTTGAAATTTGTATTCTTATTTGTTTTGATAGCAAGTAAAATGTTACATTCCTGATTCAATCATAATCTAAGAATCAATTTAGACTTATAATTTTCTATTACATTTACTATGTATATTATATTTATTATTATAAGTCTATGAAGAATAATTAAAAAAATAAATATGCTTTGATTAAAAAGATAAAACTGTTTTAATTGATTTAAATTACTTTATAGAAAAACAGCTGGAAACAATTATGATGTATTCATAGTTAGATCAGATGACGACTAGCATGAGGTCATTTCATAAGAATGCATATCTCATCTCTTACCCAATTTACTCAAGTTTGTACTATTGCACTTATTCAAGTTTAACATTGCACTATGAGTTTGTATTGCAATTGTCTGTTGAGTCTTAATACCTTATCAAGAGAAGTATCTAAATACTTAATACAGCATCCCAGAAATGATTTTGATTTTCATTCACTACTTGGATTTGTATAAAGAAAAGCTTTATTATTTCAAGATTTTCCTGAATATTTAAACATTTTGAAAAACTGTCCTGGTTTTGAGTATTTTACACCAACTTCATTTTCCCCATAAACCCTGATATTTTCATTGAGTAAAATTTTATAATGCAGCAACTTTTTGGAGCATACATATCACAGTATAGGTGAAATGACTGCATGAAATCATTTACACTTGAAAATTTTTATGTATAATAGAATATACTCTTTCTGTAAAAAAAACCATGCATTTATTACATGTTGCAATAAATGTATTAGTAATTTATTGATTATTAGCAGGAATGGAAGGCAAGATGGCTGAGGTGATTAAGGCATCAGCCTACAGTGCTGGGGAACCAGGAATCAAATCTGAGCAAACAATTCCAGGAATATTTTGAGAGGTAATAAGAGGGATCCTGGATAAGTTGGGCCCCATCCTTCACCACTTGGCTACCTCCTTATGGACCTGGTCAAACCCACAATGGATATGGAAAAAAAAAGCTCTTTCAGGTGTAGAGTTGCTATATGTCCCAATTAGAAAATTTTTTTCCAGAATGTCCCATATTTGGCTGTTTCTATCCAAAAATGTTCTGTTTGTATTAAAAACAGTCAAATAAAAATTGTAGGCATTGGTGTCTGCAGATGTCATACATGCATATGCCACCTGTCCTCACATATATACATCTGAAAGTAATCTGTGGCACATGCTTTGTTTTCTGTTGGTCCTATGTAGTACTGTGCAATGGATTCAAAATTATCAACTCAAATTCATCAAAAGTTAAACAAGTACGATTAAATCTTTCCATCTTTATTTATTATTATTTGTTGAACCAAATACGATAAAAAAAAGTACAAATAAATATTAAATATTTATTACACACAGTATTAAATATTCATTATATTGCTTAAATAAAATAATATGCAATTATTGGTGTAAAAATTCAAGTGAGTGTTTTTACAAGAAACACAACTAATTATTATTTATGCAAAAGTATTTTTAATACAAGCATGTGAGAAAATTAATTTTATTAAAAAAGCTTCAAAACCTAAATGTTTAGAACGTTTTAAAGGTGTGGATATATTTTTTTAGTAATGCATTTAATTACGAAAAAGTAAAAAAAAAAATACTGTAAATTCAGTATTATATTCACAATAATGAATTTTTGGCGCGAAATTCAGATTTGAATCTGAAGTGCAATTTATATGCATGCAGACTTCATGTAATTTTTGCAGTACTGTTTGATTTGGCACAGTTAATGAATATGATAGCATAAATTAAATAATTTATTAATATTATATAATTTGGTACATGTGGGTTTAGTCCCTGCATGTCTCTTTCCATTGTTACACCGCATTGCGTAGAGTAGATTCAGGTTAGACAGAAAATACAATGCTGTTCAAAAATTCAGCATAAATTATTTGAAATGTAATTTTGTAACGTTTCTAGAATAGTATAAATAATTACTTTGACAGTTATTACGTTTCCATCTATTAATTAACACTTCACGAATTAAAATTTAAAGGAATATACTGTAACTTACTTAAGTCGTCGTTTTATTGGCTGTCATTATTTAACAATGATTAGAAATAATCAAATCTTATTTTCCATTAAAAATGATATCGATTCCAATTCAGCAATGTATGTTACACATTAAATAATATACATTTTTTGTACTTTCATCCTGGTTAAATAAAATGCATTTTCCAACTATCCAAATATTTGAATTTCGCGCCAAAATTTTCTTATATAGCCTATACCACTTCGTTATGCCTCATTTTTTTCTTTTAATTTTACGACTCGACGCAAAGAAACGGTGATATTTCGAGAAAAGGACGTACATTTTCGTATGTAATCTCAAAATTCGTGAAATATTTGATATAGTTAATCATTCACTGATACCTACTTCTGCCAATTTTCATCCCATTATCTGACTGAAGCCGATTCACCATGCTAATCCTACTATGGCGTTTAAGAATTTTAAGTTAAATTTAACTCCTAAAATTCAAATTAACACGAATCGCGAGAAATTATATAAACAGTAAATAGTAAAAAAATGTTGCTGCTAAATTTTCCTCGTTAGCTAAGCTTTTCAGGTTAAAAAATAAATTTTGATAAGATATATTTTTGAATAAATTTAATAATCAAACGAATTTTAATTAATTGAACTATTTTGCGCGTAATTAATGAGTACATGTCAAATAAACAGAAATTTTAAAATTCGATTTAATAGATTTCTAGTATGTAGTATTGTACAGTACAAGTACCGTATATACTCGCATATAGGACGAGGTGTGACTTTAAAGATCAAAATAAAGAAAATTAGATTTATTAATACAATTCTAATTTTATTTCATTTCATCGCAAATAAATTATCAAATGCACGTAAATGCACACATTGTCCCGCAAAAATTACTGTCGTCATTTTAAACTTTAAGGAAAAATCTTGTAAAATCGACATTTGTTCACGTAAAGTTGGACAGTCGGGAACCTTTTTTGTCAATTCTTAACAGTCGAATCCACACTTATGAGTTTCTTCGAATTCTGATGTCCAAATAATCATCTGTTTTCACGTGGGAATGAATTAAATCGTATATCGGGCTCCCGTGTAATTTTGGAATTCAATTCAAAAGCTTTGCTTTTGCTATTCATCTTTACTGCTGACAATACACAAGAACGATTCAAACGACCCAGATAAAACACTTTTGTTTTTAAACACCAGAGGGTGAGCATCCGGTAAAAAATGCGAATACACGGTCCACAAAAATTATTGCAAAAACGCAAAATCCTTTGCGCGCGCGTATAGGATGACCTAGATTTTTGAAGCAGTGAAAAATTAATAAAAACCTCGTGTTATATGCGAATAAATACGGTAATAGTAGTCATATCTATCCTACAAAACAGGTAAAAATAAATTTTTGGTTGACTTTAGTGAGTTTTAGCTTTAGAAATTATCAAAAATAATAAATTAAAAACAAAATTTTGATTTTTTTATCATTTATTGTCATTTCAAGTAAAAGGCCATTTCATTTTTCTTGAGTTGACCAATTGTTATCACACACATGAAACAATTGGTCAACTCAAAACTTAAAAGGTCAAGTACATAATTTATTCATTACAAACGTAAAATAAAATGATAAACTGTATTATATTCTAGCGAAACTATCCTTGTATGCAATATCCTCCTTTTCAAGATAATTTCATTAATATTTTGTCATACTAATCATACAAAAACATCTTAATGTCAGTGAATGTTGCCGCAATGTTAGGAAAATAAATTAAGTTTAAACACGAAAATTAAATTTATCTTTGAAATGATAGATTTATAAAAAAACAAAAATAAAAAACTAAATTTTTGATTTCTATCTAACAATTTACGCTGAATTGCGTCTTACTTCACAAGGAAAAACACAATATAATATAAATGATTATAAAGCGTAAGCTGAGATAAATTCAAGGCCAGGATATACAAGGTTATTCCAGTAAAAATGGTTCTTCGAAACTTCAGTGCGCTTTTCTTAGTCCCTATTTCATAGAGAAATTTTTAATGATTAGTATTTATTTGTAATCTTAAATTAATATTGATAGAAATGGTATACTGCAACATGCTTCTAATCTTAAATCCAGAAAGACAAAAGCTAATGACATCATTTAAAATTTTCAACACACAGCTTAAAAGACTATGTTTTTAAAAATTTTGAATAAATAGAGACAGTAAAATCTGTTTGGACTATAATTCTATAAAGCCCTATAATTTGTAAAAACATTTAAGAAGTTTTAGGCTTATCACGAAAATATTAAGAATAAACTGTATAGAAAATTGTTTTGTATTATCTTGTAATAAAATTTCATAATGAAACCTTGGGTTATTAATAACCATCTCTTGTAAAATCTAAATAGTATAATTGCGTGGTGAATGTAATGCAATGAATTATTTGGCACCGTAAAACACATCAAATATATTGAAGAAGGAAAANCTTTTTATTGTAAATTTTGAATTTGATAAATTAAAACAAATTTATAGTAATCAGGAAAATTTCCATAAATTAAACAAAAGTCTGAACTAACTAACAAACAAAAATATTGGGAATTGCAGTAATCCCTCCATTTGCAAATTAATTTTAATGCCATTGAAAGATTTTTAAATTTTGAATAAATCTAATTTATGGAAATGTTAATAAATGATAATTCAACAATTTTTTTTTTTTTTTTTTGTTACCAGTACTCTCTTGTGTACCTGTACTGTACACGTA